TTATAAATAATATTTAATATTTTTTAGTATAGGTACTTTCGGCTAAGTAAATTAACACATACCAGAGCCATTTTTTTCATACAATTATCAAATGCAAATTTTTATAAAAATTTTCCAATTCCGCGATGACGGGGCTTTCAATGTCACCGGCTCCCGTACTATAAGGTTATCTACGCCGGTACATGTATACATGTACAAGTATCGAGTAAGGTATTGTAAATGGAGACGAATATAAATTGTAATTTCTGTATAAACGCAGGGGGATTTGATAAAAGCACTTTATGGTCAGACAGGCAACAAGTCAATCATTCGAAAATTGACAGATTTCTCTGAATAGAAAATGAATCGGCACTTGTTGCTGTCCGCTCATGTTTGCATTGAATTTACATATATCTGATTGTGAAAATGGAATGAACATATGGAACAGATATCACCAAATGGTATCATTAAGCACTGACTGTACGTCGGTAAATTATAAATGTGTTAAAAGCTGCACTTCTTATCATCTAAAAATGTTTTATTTGAATTGATTGTCACCGTTGCGGAAAAATAAAAATAACACTTCCCACCTTATTTAATTATATCTGGATTGCTATTGTAATTTTCATTATTCCATTACAATACCATAAGGTATGTATTTGCTAGGTTGAAACAAAACAAACATACCGTAAACAGTGTAAAACAGTAATTAGATAACAAAAATTATCGACGGATTTGTGACCTAATAAGTACGGTTTGTCGTTGTTGCTGTTGTCATCTCTCGTAGCTTAGTGGTCAAAGCATTGGCGCGTAAAGCCAAAGAGCCCGGGTTCGATTCCCGGCGGGGGTGTAACAACAGCAACAAATTTTTCCTCATTAATTTGAGGAAGTGTGTAGTGGGTAAAAATTCACAAATGAATTTTCAGAATAATATTTCATATTAAAAATTATTATCTGAATAATTACATGTAAGAAGAAATTCGTAGTTTAAATATACATATATATATAGTTACTCTAATAATTTTTATAAAATGCAGAAACTTAGTGGACACAACAGCCGGAAGTAACAAAAGCTAAACTAAAGAAGCCGGAGGCAAATATGTTGCAGCAATTTTTTTCGATTAACAGTAGGTGTTTGTTTTCGAGGACACTTGCAAATAGCGCGAGCAGGACCGCAAAGAGCTTTACGTGGTTCTTGTGGTTTATGGTTGAGATAACATTCAGTGGTGTTCGCTGTTGCAAGCCTTTAGGGTCAGCGCGGTCACTAAACAATTGTAAACGATAGCGCGGCTATTAATACAAAAATCCCAAAAGCTTCCATAAATCCCCTACCTACCGTAAGGTCTACAGGGTGGTCCCGTTTCTAATCCAATTGGATACAAAATAGAGGTGCGGGGATAGTACTCGTATCAAATCGAATTTCGAAATTAATACTTGTTCTTTTTTTGTTTTCGTTAGTGTTAAAAATAATTTAAAAATAATTAAACTACAAAATAAAGCTAATTTATAGCAAGGCTTTAAGAAATAAAAATTTTTACCTTAAGGGTTACGCCATATAATATATATTTTAGGAAAGAAACGGCTAAGGTGAACATATAGACATAATAATTAATAGTAGGCAACACAGACCTGCACACAGAGAGGATTTTAAATCCTTTTACATTAGAAAGAATATTAGAATTTTAACTATATTACGAATAATCAGAGCAATTACGGTCAGTAAGGATATATTTTAACACAAAAACCAACAACAAACGTTTCGCCTCCAGGTGTAAGTCTTTTCCAAGGTGGGTTATTATAATAATGAAATTTATCCTTACTACCCGTAGATACCTAATTGTTCTGGTTATTCATAGTATACGTCTGAGCTGGGGAGGGACTTTAAGATTACTAATCTAATAGTGAACAAATGTAGATGTACTTAGCGCTTACCCACTTCTAATTTTACATGAAAAAGTATACGAAAGTAAACTATAAAACCTAGAAAATGATCTATGACTATAAGCTACCGTCGCCGGGATTCGAACTCGGAACCTTTGGCTTTATCACTCTAACCACTAAGCTACGAGAAGTGACAACGAATTAGATCACACATTCGTCGAACTAAAGAGTATGAATATACATATTAATATCGAATGTTGACTTTATGGCTTGTCCCTTTACAATCTTCTATGTAAAATTCTAGTTCAAAATATTTCTCCATGATATATCTAAAAATGACAATTTTCAATTTCAATTTAACATATATCAAAGTTCTAAAATAATAACCAATTTTTGATGACAAATTTGAACAAAATACCTGGAAAAAGATCATTGTCTTAAACAAACACCTTTATAGACTTGTTATAATTTAATTATACGTACGTTAACTTTAAGGATTTTACAATAGCCGAGAAGAACATTTTGAAACAATTTATTTGAACATTGTTCTTTCGTTTCTTTAACGAATTTCCACAGTTGGTTTTTTTTCTATAGAAAGAATCGTTATAAACAAAAAACAATCTTACAAATCTTTTGTAAAGTTGTACAGAAACACATATTTAAAGTACAAACCAGAAGGACCCTGTAGGTGTTGAGAGATTGCTACATTACTGTGGCTTAAGTTTATTTGTAGTACTACGATAATAGGGAACAATTTTGAGCGCTATACATATATACACTTTTCGACATTAGCCAGTGATTGCGATACAAATAACCGGTTACTTAGAAAATTGCAGCTTTGACACTATTACATCGCCTCTAATAGTATGCAATATGCAATTACTTCTGCAGATAGGAAAAAGGCTACACTTAATTGCATACTTAGCTGTATGCAATTTACGAAAGAAAGTAAATCCTTTCAATTTTGTAATAATCTATCCCTATAAATTAATAATCATACAAATAAGAAGTAACGTTAGAGAATAATATTCGCGATAGAAGTAAATATCTATACCTATATACAAAAAATATATATTAATAGAAATCAATGATATCTATCATATTTCCGAAGAAAATAATTAACACAATATTAACCAATGCGATGCTTTAAAAACTACACAGGGATACGATTTTCGCCACGCTCAAAAATTGAAATGTTTCCTTTCTCCAATCTACACAGTTTCTCCCCGAATTGCCAAAGGTACTGCGAACTTCCAAACACGGAACATTCATCAAAATTCAATCAACTCTAATGTTCAAACCGATTTGACTAAATCCGAAACTAGTTACTCTAAGTCGTGCATAAGTTTACTTAACATAACATTGCCTGCCGCGCTCGGAATTAATTGAATTATTGGACCGAAAAGAAATTAATCTTGTAATGCGAGGGGATTCCGTAATAACTCCTTACCCAGTCGCCCTGTTTGTTACTGCACGAATGCCGGAACACCGAGACACTAACGCCCCCTAAAGCGACGACAGGAAAATAAAAGTGTGTCGGGTACCCAATTCGTGTATAATTCCTTATTCACATTTAAACTTCGTTTTTCTTTTTACAAAACGTAAAGTACGTTGTGAACATTTTTCGTGTGCAATTCCCAGACAAGAACGTGTTAATTGGGCGATTGTTTCGGAGTGTGCTGCTTCGAATCACATCGCCCCGAGATGTTTAGATACGAATCTCAGCTGAATCGGTGTTGTTGCTCTTAGCGCGCGCCCTCTGGCGGTTTGCTTAGTTAAATACACATCGATACTCCTACCCGCGCAAACATGCTAAATACTGCACTACAAATGACCTGGCTTAAAATCGAACGTATGATACTTTTAAGACCATTCTTCAAAATTCAGAGCAATTGAATGCGATTTATACTGTTCATAAACATGTAATAATAAAGTAACATTCTCAAAGTTATAAAGACTAAGACACTCCAGAACATTTCTATA